AGCCTTCAAGGGTGAGAGGGCTCAAGCAGTTGGGAGCAAAATTAAACGAACAAAGTAGACACACTTAGAAAAAAATCATATGCATTTATTACTATAAGCTTGTTTCGTATGGACAGCTGTCAAAAGCAGCCACACTCATCAGGTACAAATACATAGTCAACTGATATGAATGAAATTTTTGTGAAACTTTAACCAATTTACAATAAAGAAATGATTAAGTGTATTCAAATGATATATGTTCTCAAATACAGCTTCGGAGATTGTATTTACAGTAGTGTCAAGATCATTTTGCTATTGCTTATACCCCACACTGAAAATGGAACAACCAAATATTGATGATTAGTGGATCTTAACCCTCAGTTGACTGGTTTCGTGAAGGCTAAATGAACACATTATAGAACGTGTGACGAACACATTTCCATAGTGTAGTTTATAATGAGATTTTAAGGCATGGGGAAAACCCAGAACAGCAATATTGAATTCAAAGCATTATTTCACTTGTTGTTTCTGGGTTTTCCCATACTTTAAAATCACATTTTACAGTGTATACAAATATCTCATTCGAGATCCAAGAAGGTGTATCTCACAGAGAGTCAGATCAGTCAACCAACCAACCAACCAACTAAATGTATTTATATAGCGCCGGTATGATAGCCATATGTTCAAAGGCGCTCGACAAAGATGCGAAAGTTTTGACGTCAAACGCGACAGAGACACTTTTTTCCATGGAAATAAATAAAGGAACTTTTCATTGAATTTTAAAGCTTGATACGATTATAACATCTTGTTCCTTTTCGAGAATATCATTAAACAGCTTGCACTGTTGACAGGTTGTAAATTTGTACACGAGTGTTGGCTAGGTGCTAGTATTTCATGGCTTATAAATTAAATAAGTATTGTGTGGCCGCCTCTTATCAACATTGATGGTAACATCAGGTGTAATTAACTAAGATAAAAATGAAGTAAAAGCAATATTAATTATTATTATATAGTGTCATTATTATTATAATCAATATCATTATTGACTGATCAGAGGTCAAGATGTTAAGCCTACACATTTCGTAATTCCACATCGAATGCATGAAATGTGGTAGGCTCAGTACCTTGATTAGTGCTTGAAATTCACAACAAACACGTAAAATATAATGAGTGTTATTTCAATACATAATTACATACCGTATTTTAACTAGAACTAGGCTTATGTATACATTGTGTCTGTATTTAACATTATTTCAATCTTTGTCAATCTAAAGTCGAAGTGGTTCCCAGGCTAGGGGCCCGCCAAGTCAAAGGGGTCCGCAGCGGGTCTGCAAACAGGTTGGGGATACACTAGGTTTATGTTAGAATGCCTTTTTCATGATTCCATTTTTTTTTCTTGTTTACAATAGTGTAATCATGATTTGACAATAATAAAATACAATTGGCCGGCACCTTCGTTCACTTTAAATTGTTTTAATTGGCATCATATTTTAATTCCAATATTTTATTGGTGATCTGATCTGAATCTTAAATTAGTTTTGTTATGTATTCTTTATGTAAAGATGTTTAGTATTATAGGAGAGCCACTTGATAGTTTCAGTTCTTAGGTAATATACATTCTGTATCCGTGTTTTGTCTTGCATTGCTTTTACCTGGATACTGAATAAATTAAAAATGATAGGAGCCCTAAATTCGATAAAATTAAAAGTAAATGGTTGATAACAGAATATTAGATTCAAATTTCGAGATCGACAGCGCCATCTACAAGTTTTATAAACAAAATACACTAAAGTTAAATTTAACCATCAATATTTACTTCACAAAGACAGGATAATACTCAAAATTCAAAACATTTTATTGTCGGTAATACATAAAATATAAAAAGAAAGTTGAATTACTCTGCAAAATTTAGAAGTTAGAAAAAAAACTTCACATAGACACCACATTACTCTTTCAATGCCATAAAATACACACACTATATAAACACTAAATATAAACGTAAAGAAACGTGGAGATCAGTTACAAAACTGTTACAATTGCGCAATTAAACTGGATACTAGTTGGCACAAATAATTTTTTTTATATCTACAAAGTGATGTTATCGGATTCAAAAGTCTGATGCTTGTACTGTTGTAATTATAGAGTAGGGCAGCGTTCCGCAAACATTTTACTTCACGGCCTATTTACAATTCCAGGCACCAAGTTGCGACCCAGCAGTCCAGCCGCGCCAGGGACCAACATACCAAATCCTAACAAGAAGTTTTGATCATGAAGCTTCTATGTAGGACCTATATACAATATTTTGACATCATTATCTGTTCTCAGTGATAAAATTTCATTGTATTTAAATTAAATATTATTTTATTAAATAAATAATACCGTACATATGTGTTCCCCCTCCAAAAATTGTTGATTGTTTTTTTTTCTACCATTATTCAAACAAAGACGATTCAGCCACACACGTTATAGCTTTCTCCTTCTTCCAAAAACTTTTACGCACGTTCTGTTACGCCGCAACTTTCAAGATATATAATCACAGTGTCATTATAAATGTTGGAAGCAGTTATAACCGGCGGCATTAAGCCTGTTTTTTGTTTTTGTTTTTGTTTTTTGCATGTTACTTGTATATCTAATGAGAGTCAATCAATCAATAAATTAATTAAATGTCACAGTAATAATAAACTCATAACACCGAGATTGTGTGCGAACACTAACTACAGTAATCATAATATTTTTAGTGAGTAAGAAAGATATACATAAAAATGTAACAGAAAACTATTCAATTAATAAAACACAGAAACACCTATTATTAAACACTTATATCATTTTTATAGGAATGACATTCAAAACTAGGCTTTTAATAGATTTGTAAAGTGCCGTAATGTATGGATGATCGATCCAATTGAAGCAAGTATGAAATAAATAAGACATAAGAACTATGACTTCAAAATCACCAATTTGACGGTTATTATAACTATTATAAGCTATTGAATATAATATATTGACGCCATTACATTACACATGTTTATGAAACAACAAATATTAATTATTAAACACTTTTATACATATCATAAAATAATATTGAAAACTGGGTATTTTATAAATTTAAAAGGTAATGAGTCGATATAAAAAAATTGTGACTTTCTTGTCACAAAATATAAAAAATAGAAAAAGACCATCAAAACATAAATTAAACTATACTGTGGAACAGAATTGCCCTAAACTATATATTGTAGACGGATCTAAATTGCACATTATTTACATTGCCTGAGTAGAAAATATTAAATACATCAAAAAGTGTCATTACAAAACCACAGACAAAAACAAAAGCAAAAATCCATTTTGATCATATCAACACGAAAGCTCATTCTGACATTACCCATAATTGTCAGTATTGATTTTTAAAAATTATTTAAGTGGTTTTTAATTTATCAATTCATTTACTTGTATATTAAAAATACATAGTTACTTATTTAAAAGTAACAAAATAAGGTATTGTCTTCTTCGGAATCTTTCAATATTTGAGTGAATAAGGGGATGATCAGTAGTTTTTCGGTTGTATATTACTAATCCGTGTCTTTGTTTGGGCAGCCAGGCTTGAAATATTGGATGCCTAACAAGTTTCTGATAAGCTTTCTCTACCTACGTTTATATAATATTCTATATTCAGCAATGAAAGTGCTTGATCATTCTTATCATATCGATTTCCTAGAATAATCCTGAAAGCTAATTTTTTTTACCTTTTCATACATGTCAATCATTAAATAAAATAACTACACATTGTAATCTTACTCATATTTCTCCTACCTTTACCTATTGCGCCAATTACCATAATAAAGAAATCGAGTAACTTAACAAAATAGGCCTACACTACATTTTACTACAAAATTATTTATTAAGGAATCAAGAAAATGTATTGTTGACAATACAACGGGACACTTTACAGTCGAATGTCCAGTTGCTAAAAAAAGAATTATTTTTAAAGTGGGACATAAAAATCACTGATATATAAATATATATATATATATATATATATATATATATATATTTCAGGTTGATAAAGAAATATAGTCATATATGATGTTATCTGTTAAAGCTGTTATTAAATACAAAAATTTATTTGGTAAGCCCGTTTACTGACATGAGATGTGTTACCGATTAATCTCAGATAAGAAAGTATAATACATACTCGAAGTATTGACATGCACGCCATCGTGTTTAGATTAAATATTTCAACATTAATTATGTACACCCATTTTCACACGACTATTTTTCTTGATGACGTAATTAATGTCGAAATATCAAATTACAACATGATGGCATGCATTTCAATACTTGGAGTATGTATTATACTTTTTTATCTTAAAAGTGTTACTGTTCCAATTAAGCTTATTATCCAATATTGTACCAAGGTACTTATACTCTGAAGCAATCTTAATAAACTTTCCGTTAAAGTCACTCCAGAAGAAAACATATTTTGATATTTTGTAGAACTTATTTTTGTACGACAGAAAAAAAGTTGTTGCGAAAAACTGTGGAACGGCTAATGATATACAGTTTTTTGAATATTTAAAACTAGGGGGCGGGGAGGAAGGGTTTTCATATTATTCAAAAATCTGTATCTCATTAACCGTTACCCAGTTTTTCGTCAAACACCTTTTCTCTCTTAAAAAAAAATCAGTTCTACAACATAACAAAACAATTTTATTTGTTTCCTCCGGAGTCTAACTTTAATTATAATATTTTCAGGTTCTTTTTCTGTTTTCTAAAATCAAATATAATCTCTTTAGTTTTGTCAATGTAAATTTCAAATAGTTGTCATTACACCAAGAATCAAAGTTATTAGGTTGTTCCTTATAAATTTCTTAATGAAACCAGTTTAAAATAGATGTGTCGTCGGTATACAGAATGAGGCAGCAGTCATGGGTGTCCAAAGTAAATCGTTCGTTTTGAGTGAGAAAAGTAAAGGCGATAATACGCAACCTCGAGGTGCTCTGGTAGATGTTAGAGTTGAATCAGACTAAAATTGGCAATCAATACATGCTGTTTTCGCGCAATGAGGAATTTCCCTATCCAGAGTGAGAGATCCGGATTAACGTTGGCGTTGCAGAGTTTTTGAAGAAGTATATGCTGTTTGATCGTGTTGAAAGCGGACGAAAAATCTCTGAACATGGACCGAACATACAATTTTGGCGTTTCAAGGTGAAGTGGAGTATGTGGAGCATAGGGGATATTGCATTGTAGACTCCCCATTTTCTTGCGGTAAACTGCATACGGTTTAGGAGTGAATTGCGATCGGTCTTCATTACTGTTTTGATAATAGCTTCAAGACACTTCATTGTGATAGCTCCTGATTTTCAATTTCCTTGATTGTACCAATCGTTCTTTGTCAGTATATTGCCTACCTATACTTGTTCTTTCACACACTTGTGTTTTACTTGATGGTAGTAGGTTTGAAGTTCATCTTTGATATCAAACCTTTCAAGTTCTTCCAATGCATTACTCATTTTTTCGAGGTGATTTCCATTAGCTTTCTGTCTTTCTCTCCATCTTACCAACATTTCTAAACTTGCGTCTACACTTGGTTCAAAATCAGTCTCAATTCGTTTTAACTCAGATTGCTTCATTCCAAGATATATGCCAAGTGTTTTCCAATCGTTGTTAAGTTCTTTGGCGATGCACAACATATCCATATCCGTCAAGTAACCTGAAAGAAAATTAAAACATTAGCAATTTTTTTTTTCAAATGTACTTTACAAAACGGACTTTCAATACTTTATGAAATCAATACACGCTCATTGTATGACAGGCACATGTACTAGGCAACATGTCTTACGACATTAATCAGTGATGAGTATTAATGTACATTTTGTTTTTACATTTAGGATAAAAGGTAACATGATGGTACTAAAAATGTACAATAACACAAACATGTTATTTTAAGTCATATTATTCAATTGATAAAATTAACCATATTTCGAAAATGATTTATAGAAATAAAATAACATTATCTTGTCTTTAAAAAGTTCAATGAATTATAAAAATCTAAAACAGAATAATTACATTATATAGGATTTTTCAATTAACCTGATATAATTCGATATTAAATAATTATGCGAAAATCATCCTGTTTAAAAATCATATCAGCATTGATAATACATTACTAACCATCATAGTGTGTTCTATGTGGTGGTTGTATTGTACATTCATCCGGTTTTACATGGCACTGTGAGGCAAAGAGCCAGTTAGCAAGATCTATGCGTTTTTCATCTTTCAACGCCTTGGCCATAATCTTCACTTGATTTGTCTCGTATTTTTGTAGACTCCTCCATTCGGTAAGCATCTCTAATGTACACTCTGGCTGTCGTTTACAGCAATACATCCATATTTGATTTATCCTGTTCCAACTGAGACCCAGTTTGACCCCCAACTGCTTCCATTCCAATCCCATGTCTTTGCTGATACGAAGCAAATATTCATCTGTTAGATAAATATGATTGCCATCTAAAATAAAGTCAAAAGAATACCTTAGTAATATAAAATAAGAAGACGCACTATACACTAAACGCCTGATTCCAAAGCTGGTTATATTATTTAGATTGTTAAACATACATAAGTATCAATTAACATGTTTATGTAATAGACATATATTAGGAGTTGTTTGTGGTGTGGCGCATTCTTTTTTTCCCCCATACACTTAAGGCATAACTTACAGAGGGCGCTATTTTAGGTCAGGTCGGCGAACTGATATACATAAATATGCATACCAGAGTCAGACCTCGCGAAACAGTGGCGTATCGATATGCGTGGATGAACACTGTGGAGTGGGTCAAAATTTGTCAAATAGGCCGTTGTATTTAAGACAGTGTGAATATTAATGGACTATAATTGTAATAATATCTCTGACTAGACAGTTTATGTACAGCACAGTCTTTTAAAGTACAGTATAAGAAATTGAATCTGGCTATTTGAGTAGGCCTACAGTATAGTATGAAATGCATTGTAGCAAGTTTATGCATCCTATAATAGTACTGATTCTGAAGGATATTAACGTTTAGAATGCTCGGAGGTAAATCACGAGTACTGCTTTGGACACAGTTGCTAACTTATTATTTTACAACATTTTTATGAGAAAAATAATCCCTGTTAATTAACAGTTATATTGTGAACGTATTGCTGTGTGCTTTTACGTGATCAGAGGCTGGTAACATAAGGATTTTTTCCTGTTAAATAAAGGGAAAGTTTTATTTTATTTTTATTTTTTTACTCCCATTTGATTTTAATCGTTTTAAATAAGCTTATTCAATTTGTTTTTATGGGCTATAGGCAGCCTTTTATATAAACATTACGAAATATCATAGAATATTGTAAGATTTGGTGTTATCAATGTTTATTGCCATATAAATTGCCAATTATTACTTTTAAATATATTGAATATGAACGAAATGTTTGTGAAAAATCAACATTACAACAATACTGTACATAAAATTTTCTTCTAAAAAAAATCCCAGGTGTATTGTGTGTATGCCATACAGTACTTTACATTACTGCATAATACTCATATTATTACCGACCAAATTCAACATTGCTTTCAAAGACCATGCTGTACGTAAACAGTGTCTATTTTATAGCGATAATATAATTACAAAACTAAACATTATTAGTCCATTAATATTCACTGTGTCGACTACAATTTCTCGACCAACTACCAAGAGATTTTGGCCTACCTTACTACATTATACACCGTAGCTTTCACGTCACAGGCAATTGCATATTCCACAAGCAGCAAACACTGCTTTCGCGACTCGCGAGGGCAAGTCGGCATGCTTATTCATGCATATCAGTTCACTTAAACTGACCTAGAATAGTGCCTTCTGTAATTTCTGCCTTAAGTGTATGGGGAAAAGATAATGCTGGCAGGGTGGGGTTAATTTTACGTACATGTCATATTTTTGAACAGCTTCTGTAGTTTGCTGGTTTTTAGAATTTTCTCTCCGCATAGGATATCGTCCTTTAAACACTCTTCCAGATTATGAAAGTGATCTTGCAAGTCTGACCAACACAGGACACGAACTATATAACTAAGGTGCTTCATTCCAGACGTCAGTACTTTCAACTCTTTCTCTAAATACTCCAACACCTTTAAAAGTTAACAACCACTATAAATATTATGAAATATAAGTGAAAATAAAAGCAATTATAACACAATAATTAAAATTATTTCACAAAAAAAAGACAAACCAAACCAGTCACTCGTCGCAAAAATCGATTTTTAGTTATTAATACAGTACAATATTGTTAAACAGTAAAATGAGAGCTATAAAATGGTAAACGAATCATTCAAATCCGACATTTCGTTATAAGTTACAGGAGTTTAAACATACAGCTGTTTGAAGAACAATAATTGAGATTGAAATCAGCCTACAAAGTTCAGGATTGCAGGCATTTCACAGGCAGAAACCATCACCAAATCGTTAAAAATTGTTGTTATTGAAATATAAAGGTTTGTTCAGTGAAATAAAATAGATTTAACAAATTTTGACATCCCATGATGTTTTGGTATCTCTGAAACAGGATTTGCGACAAGTCACTGGTTTGGCTTGTCTTTGCCACTATTTATAACTTCATGTTAACTGAAGGTCGCAATGCCTATTAGGTTATCTAATTCCAATGTGTATATCTAACAAATGGACATATATTAAAATGTATAATTTACTACCTGTATGCAAACATTAGGACTTGGTCCTCCTGTCCCTGTATCTGAAGGCTTACAAGCATCCTCCAACATCTCAGGCTTACGTGATATTTCAAGCTAATGATACAAACCGAAAAGCTTGGAGTAATTCACACGTATGGTAATATTTATGGGCAATCAAGCCTTTAAGGCCGCAATCATCAAATATTGTATTAAAAAATTGTTGATACTTGCCTTTTCTAACTTTAGTGTCTGTATGTCTTGTTTTTTTATCTAGTTTGTGACCAGGTGAAAAACCATTAGAGTATTACGTGATACAATACAAAACACACGCATCTTTATACTGTATACGTTTTTGTATGTTGTACTATTTGGAGAATTGCTTGTAAAATAGACATGCATATTATTATTTTTATATATAGCACTGAAATGACCATTTCTGTCTGTTTTGCCAGTATCACCTTAAAGTTTACTCGTTAATAAAATAAACGTAAATTTATTGTCGGAAGTACCATAAGGTGACGTAATATTTGCTGTGTTACTTTTGTCGGTGGAAAAACATAAAACAAAATAAGTTTTGCATATGTTCATATTGTCACATGCTTTTATGTTTTTATATGTCAGTTGGTTTCTTGTTTTTGCACAAAATTGACGACAAATTAAATGTAATCTATGTAATTTCATTATTAGTATTTAATTAGTATTTCATTCTCATGCTGAATAAGTTGATAATATTGTATCACAAATATGTTACCTTCACAGAGGGCTTGTTTTCGATGATTACTTGACCTAACCTGAGAGTGTGATCACATCCAAAGTCAATGATTGCTTTGTTGTAGAATAATTTCGGAGTGGCCGAGAAGCATTTTGCTTGTACCATTTCAATTAACCTGACAACTATATGGTGATAGGTACTTTCGAAGAGAAAGGCATCAGATGTCATGTAGATAGATACCGTCTGATCATTGTCCGGTGTAATAGTCATCTCTTCCGAACTAAATTTCGATCGACAGGGTACGTAAAACGAACGATGAGCGTTCTTTTGAGTCTAATTAAAAATATAAAACAAAACTCAACATATAAAAAGAGATTTCCAATATCTTGGAATAATATCTAGACAAAACCAAACAAAACTACTCGACTAGGTTTTTGCACTACGATGTCAAACGTACGTCTCCTGCAAGAGCCAAGTGTTCGTGGTCGGGCGTCGCTTAAATCTTTTGAAATTGGTCCTGGTAACGAAGCCCCCACAAATTTTGGATGAGTTAAAAGTAGTTAAAAAACATGTCAAGCAGCAGACACGCTCCAGCTAGGAGCCTATTTTTACAGTATCAACAATAAAATATATGATAATTCGGAAATTCTTAATGTTATGTTTTAGTCAATTTTTAATGTGTGAATCAACATTACAACAATAGTAAGACGTGTTGACCTGCGACAGTTTTAACATGACATTGACTGTTACATTCATCAGTGTTGTACTATAATAAAAACCACAAGCAAACCTTGATCTGCTCACACGTAAATCCAACTTGCTTCATCAGTTCCAAGAAGACACCAATTTCATCTCTTCTAAGCTCTTCTCTCAAAATATATCTGATTAACTCTTCCTCAAGTATACCTTCTTTATCAAGTTTATTCCATAGTTGGACCTAAATATAAGAGTAATTAAAATTTCGTTTTGTATGATGAAAATAGAATATGCTTTTAGAACATTACATTTTGTTAACTCACCATCCTGTCGTCAGTTTTAACTGCTGTGATGAGTTTCTCGGTAATATTATTGACCTTCCATGGGTTTATTACCACTGTATCTCTTAGTTTTCTGTTTTGTTGAAAGTACATAACAATTCCAAGATCGTGTAAGTAGTTTAGAGCATGGATGAGATTCTCTTGCAAAATTCCGCACTTTGTGGCAGCTTTACACACCTTCAGTGATAAAATATACAACAAAATATGTAATTCATCAAAATAACTATAAAAGCACATGAATAATAATCTGAAATACTCAACTGAAATACAAATTAGTACTCACTGTATATCAAGGAAAACTAAGCAAGGTAATTAAAATTGCAATATAGTAAATAACAAGTAATTTTCATCGTTGATAGAGATTTTATGAATTGCTAATGAATGTATACCTCATTATAATGTACGTGCATTGCTTTTCTGCCCATCTCCTGTAAAAGACGTTGAAGTTTATGCCATGTAAGTGGAATCGTGTTTAGCATGGCTTTCAGAAATCCACAAATGTCTTGTTTAAGTGTTTTCTCGTTGTCGATAAGATACATTTTTCTCACCACGTAACGTTCATACGGAGTGCCTTTAATTTCTTGAAATAATATTTTAAACTGTTCTTCAGCCTAAATATGACAAGAAATATTTCATATAAAAAACCGCAACATCCTTAACTTATGACTGCTTTGTACAGTATTACCAAACTTAATAAATTAACATATTCTTGAGGACGACCTTAACATCTTTAATGCATTTATGTTATGGTAATGACACATAAACATATAAATAATAACCTACAGGTACAGGAATTGGTTTACGTCTGGTGGAACAATAGCCAATGAGTTATTTACATTATGGTCACAGGGTTAAAATCATACCATACAGTACTGTACATTAGAAATATGGAACGTATAAAATTTATAAACCAGTGTAATATATAATTTATGTATGCCTACTGTATAGACTTTCTTTGCTTGTGTTCTTATCTTACTTGTTGTTGTTATTAATATTATTAGTAATATTATTATTTATTATTTTATTACAGTATATTTTTTTTAATTTTTTTTTAATATTACATAATTTTCATTATTCTGCTAGCTGGGCTGGACAAGTTATAGATAAACTGTACATTAGAAATATGGAACTTATAAACTAGTGTAATATTGCCCTATACAATTGATGTATGCCTGCTGTATAAATTTCCTTTGCTTGTGTTCTTATCTTACTGTTGTTGTTTATATTATTAGTAAGAATAATATTATTTATTATTTTATTACAGTATATTTTTTTATAGTAAAGTATAACTTTTTTTAATATTACATAATTTTCATTATTCTGCTAGCTGGGTTGGACGAGTTATAGGTAAACTTCATCATCGCCGATTTTATGGTTCAGCTTTAGACTAGATAGACCTATCCCCAACTACCCCCAACAAGCTAGGCTCAGCCCCACTGCTGTCGTCAGTTTCTCTGTGGCTCTGTTTTTTTTTCGGATTGTCAATGACAATAGATACTTACCAGGGGCGGATCCAATATTTTTCAAACGGAGGGGACAACATGTTCCGAATAGATAAGTGTGAACGCTAATTTCAATATATTTATGCATTGAAAGTTTAAAATTTAGTGGCAAAACGGGGGGTGGTGGACGTGCCCACGTGCCGCCCTATAGGATCCGCCTCTGCTTACCTTTCGTACGCTATCTCGGTAATAGGTACTTTTCGCCACACTTTAACGTTATGTACCCAATATGCAGCGTGATAGCTCCGCACATTTTGTAAACAAATCAAAACACGCATGCGCAAACCCATAACTAACATACGTCGAGAACGTAAGATCCTGAAAAGAGGGAATTTCGGATGCACGATGTTAACCTTAACTTTAACGTTATATACCCAATATGCAGCGCGATAGCGCTGCCCCTTTTGTAAACAAATCGAAATACGCATGCGCAAACCCATAACTAATGTACGTCGAGCACGTAAAACTCTGAAAACAGAGAGTTTTTGATGCACGACGTTAACCTTAACGTTAGTATCCAACATGCACCGCGATAGCTCCTCCCCTTTTGTAAACGTATCGAAATACGCATGTGCAAACCAAACCCGTAACTAACGTACGTCGAACACGTAAAATCCTGAAATTAACGTACTCCGCAACGCAACGCAAGATGAATAAATTATGACGTCATCCGTTAACGTTAAGGTTAACGTCGTGCGGCGAAAACTGCCTAATGATTAATTCTAACCATCTTTATCATTGAGATATCGTACGGCACCGCACCTCTCGACACAGCACGGCTTATCCTAGACTGGCTGGCCCTATACTACTTGGTACTAGGCATTCTAGCCTAGGCACCAGGCCCTAGGCTTTTGTGACCATACGGCGATAGACCAAATAAATTGTTGTTTACGACAAACTACAATTCCCTGACGATGTATGATGAACTGTAGGTCATTGATAGCCAAAATAGAGGCTTTTATTATCTTTTTCCTTGATCGATTTAGCTTGAGTTGCGCATGCTCAATTGTGGCATAAAAAATTTGATTTTTCTCATTCAATTTTACACCCTCTTACCTGACGCCGTTTGGTAGTTGCGCATGCTCAATAATTTCATTAGACGTTATTTGGTAACTGCACATACTCGACAATGTCACTCAGTGACTGTCTGTCAGCATTGCCAAGCGCATGCTCACTGTGTTTTACATAGATTTGTCGGAGGCATTCTTTGGTATTAACTGTGCATGCGCGTTTGTTTAGTTTGGAATTAATATTCCTTTGTAGTAAAAGCTACCGCTTACCTACAGATTCTTAGTGGCTTTCCTCTTGTTCGTCGTAGCAGCCTAAAGTTGCGGCGCGAAATCATAATCATTACATTATTGAGGTGGTTGCCACCCCAAGGTTGGGGTTTCAATTCATCATTGTGCATTTCGCTTGTATCATTGAGCAAGCACTTTATCTGCCCACTCCTGCACAGATTTATAGCAGCAAACACTTAAACATGTGGACCCAATGACAAAGATTTAGCGCTTTGTATTTGCAATGAAAGGTGCTATATAAATAAACTAATAAATAAATAATATTGGAAGTTTAATCTTCCCAGATGTCGACATTTTTTAAAATAAAATTTTACCTGTTGCATCTTTTCTTCATTGTTTACTTCATTGTGGGTACCAACTATTACAATTTTAGGTTTCTTTGTTCTTAGCTGCAGCTGCTCAACTTGGACGGCGTACGTAAATATTATCTCCATCTGATATTTGATAATCTGTATTATTGTCATTTCATTTGTCATCGTTTCTCTCGCCTGAGAAAAACAAATATAAAACGTTTACGTGAATCTTCAAATAAATTACAGCACGTTTGAAAACAATGTCTCTGTGAACAAAATACCGACTATAATATATGTAAAAATACTGTGTAAAGAAAATGAAAATAAGAGAGATTTACCATTTTAGAGACTCTACACTTCTTTTTCGTTCCTTGCATATTTTCTACCAAATTAAACTCAATCAAATACACCGCCTCGCTTTTTAAACAAATCTAAAACAAATTGTAGGAATTGTTGAGAAGTTTGCAATTATAAACTACTACAATTGTTGAGGTTTTTCTCTGGCGTGCTTTCATCGAGGGAGGGCTGGCATGTTATAACCTCAGTGAGGCAAAAAAAATAAAAAGCAACGTTTTGTGATTACAATAGTTTCATATTCGATATTAAATTTATGTAAATCTTATCAATTTTAAATTGTGGATAGTATAAATTAATACTTACTGGGTGATTATAGTAGAGCTGCTGACCAGGAAAATCCCATATGTAAGTAATGTCTTCATTGGCAATCATCCCTGAGATTAAGAAGAAATAATATTTTTGGCATTCATAATGGTTTCCACGCACTTCAAAGCGCTTCACTGTCCATCAAAATTGGATTACAGTGAGTAGCGTGACCCACACATCTCTTATCAGGGGTTTAGTAGCCAGAAAAACGAAATAGGCCGTCCAAATGGACGCCAGTGGGCGTGGCACTGAGCCGATAGGCGGGCCACGCCTATCTTTGGGAACTCCCACCGAATATCGGTACAAAAACAACGTACATTCAATCAATAAATGTTTTTATCAAACTTGAATTTGATTTAGATTTAGTTTAATGTAACATTCGATAGATTTGGAGAATACGCCGGGCTCGCTGGCTATAGCCTGTGTTTCTCATACTGCTCTAGTTCAAGATAGAATAATTTTGATAGGCTACTTTATATACATTTATGATAAGATTTTTTGGTAACATGTCAGTCGTAGGTCATCAATTTATATATTTAAATTAATCACTCAATATGTGCGTGTTAAAGTTCGGGCCGAAACCTTTAGCTGCGAAGTTGGCCTAAAATTGAACAAGAAAGAAATTGGTCACCAAACATTTCTGAAAAAATAATTTTCTGCTGTAAAGGTATATATTAGAAAATCTATTATTTGTGTTCCATAATTATATTAGTATATGTAAATTATTATGTATAGTAATTTTGTGTCGAGTATAGTAACGCGACAAACAGTTGTGTACGTACTAATCTCGAATGTGAGTCTAGGTTTTAATAAGCAATAATAGTCGCGTTCACTATACTCTAGAATATAAAAGCCGAAGGAACCGTAATTTCTTTTAAAAAATTGAACGAAATATAATTTTGAGGGAACGAAATACTATTTGATTTATAACTAACGTAGCATTTTACGTGCGCTTTACGTCTGACGAGTATCCACACGACATTTGCCAAGGGCATAATATCGGATATTAGTAAAATGGATATTATCTATTTTACTTTAAAGATTAAAAGTAGCTATGCAAAATTTCCCGAATTTATAACCACCACATTCGTTGTCTCTCAACTATTATTTCTTACAAACATTATTGAAATTATAAAAAATTATGAAAACATCGTGCCTACAAAGGATTACATATTACAGGAAAATTATGTTGGCACTCATTCGTATAGGTATTTACCTTTTGAAAAAAATCGAGGTCAAAGTATAAGTCGCATTTACTCTGAAGTAAGTGCATTTACACGACACTAACCTAATCGCGTATTTCTTATCTTTCTTGAGTACACGGAAGTAGCACACTTACTTCTGAGAGGGCTCAGAAGTAAATCTTCTGTAGTAACTTACTACATAGCTTTTTCAGGGCTTTACGACAAGTAAACTTTGACTTCAAATCTTAAGTGGCTTGTCTGAACGTGCCTTATATCAATAGCGGCCGCTCATCAGTGCGCACGTTCCTCTACTCTTATAGACGGTACAGGTGCAAGTTATTATATTGGGTTTATTGGAAGAGCTAATAAGATCGATATTTTTAAATAATTAGAATGTTTATTTGTACTAAAAAAATATTATTTAGAATTTTCATTTTTACAAGATTAAAATATCTGAAAATTAAAAAAAAATAAGGTTTTTTAAAATTGAAGAAAAAAAAAAGAATTTATACTTAGACGCGGTTCAAAATCGCAAAATGAAGTTCTTCAACACATCCTTAATCGACAGCGCCATCCACGCGACGTGCTCTACTAGTGGTAATGGCAGTAATGTACAGTCCTTGCTGAAATCCCTGTTTTTGTTTTGTAGGTGTAGGGGGAACCATGGGGTCCAACTTAAAAAGGGAGATGAGGAAATCACCTCTAGTTTATGCGTACACAATTTCCTGCACGTCCGTTCAAAACTGGCGACGCTGGATGCTTTTAAAGTTTTGGTAACATGAACAAGAACAGGAACATCAGTGAGGCTCTGGTGTCAGCTCATTGCACGGACCCGATAAAACTTATTTCAAAGGTTAACCACCGGTTTGTAAAAGTGTAAAAACATAGACCATTAAAGTTTTCAGCTGACGAAGTAAACATAATTCCATATTTTAGCTTAATTGCGGGTAAAATAATGAACATTTCGGATATTTTTCACTCCGAGCAAAATGGTCTATTTCCGCATTCCTTGAGTGGTTTTATATGGAAAACCAAAAGAGCAACATTTAAGGAATACAAGATATTTCCTTATACCAATTAACACTACTGCTGTTTCATCTCATTTTTAGTGTTTTAAAAATATCCTTATGTTATGAGGGATGATGAGAAACTGCTTTCAAACCATGCAACCTATCTTTTAGTTTTCATATTGGTTTTTTTTTAATTGAAACTATTCGCGACGTTTACACACTTTAGGGTAAGCGAGCGAAGTGAGCACACCTCTTGTTATAGAAATTATGATTGTTACAATGCTGTTAAAGTTAATTAAAGTTCACATTCCATTTCATTTAACCACAGAGGCCCAGATCAACACAGTGTTTAAAAAATTTTAAAATAGCACTTTACAAACAATAATTCAATATTAACCTGTGTTATCTTCCTTTCCAAGTGTTTTCAATACTTCACTATCCTGTGTATACAAAGAAAAACCAAAATGATATGTTAATTAAATTCTCAATGTTTTAAATATAACTAATTTTTTTTTTGTTTATATTATTCCTTGAATTAAATAAATAAAACCTAAAGGTTACTGATTAGAAAGCAAACCCATAAAATATGACTATGGAGAGCCTGAGTTTACACTAAATGTATATTTTGTTGGTCTGATAATTATAAAAAATTGTTTGACTATATTATTCATATGGGAAGAAGGCCAAGAAGAGACCTTCCTACGTCTGAGGCCTACTTAATATGGATATCCTTTTTACTTTTGTGCATCGGCCTACTGCATTATAAATTTATGACTACCTAGTTTAAAATTAAAACGGAACAGTAGAGAAAATCCGATCAGAATGACAAAATAAACTAAGCATCCACTGGAAGGAATCCCA